ATATTCGCAAGAAAAATATTGACAAATATTACTTTGAAGCATCATTGTTGACTTTGATAAAGAACTGTAAGCTGTCACGAGTTATGGAAAAATCATATTGTAGTTTTTTCTATCAATACTTAATATTTATGGCTGAAACTTTCAGAATATAATAAGTAACGAGATATGCATATGTGATATAAATATTAGATCTAACGACCATTGTATGCAGAACTAATAGAGAAAAAATGAAAATAGTTTCCTTTTTGCTATGGATAAAGTTATACAGCTTTTTTTGTAACTCATAAAATGCTAAAGTTTTTTATTGAATTCAACGATAATACATCAAAGCAATGTTTGTAAATGCTTCTCTTACAAATATGACCCGTGAACACTTTTGTATCAACGGTAAAAGAAGCAACTAGTCTGATGAAAATACAGCGGAGATATTCAACTTTTTCTTTCGTAAAGTGACTTTTAGGGCACCCTATATAGAGTAGAAACTTGTACTTCCTTCTCCCTTCTCTTCCACACACCATGATGGACGTTGATCAGAGATTGTTACAGACATCGTCGACATGCCATCACCGGTCATATATTAATAACAGTTGATTACGAGATATTAACTGCTTAATTATTGTATTTCTAGAGATTTAACTAAAAGGAGGATGAAGAAATATGTCTCAAAATGGACAGAATAAAACAATCTTTCTGTGACTAGCAATAACAGCGATATTATGATGTTGCACATTTAGATCTCTGAGAAATTACTCTCACTACTTTTTTTTTAAGGTCCAGCAAATATTCTTCCATCTCAATTAACAATCGATGTATGGGATTATATATTTTTTCCTGAAAAATCCTATCCATCTTCAACAACAGATATTCCACGTGCAATACTTGATCATCTTCGTAATGAATTTCAATATTGGTATCCGGTTGATTTACGTTCAAGTGGAAAAGATTTAATTCCAAATCATCTTACATATTCAATATATAATCATATAGCTGTTTGGCCCAATCATTCTGAGCTATGGCCACGTGCATTTCGTGCTAATGGACATTTGTTATTAAATGGAGAAAAAATGGCTAAAATAACTGGCAATTTTTTAACATTATCACAAGCTATTAAAAAATTTTCTGCTGATGGTTTGGTTTTTTTCTTCTATTAAATATTTAAAAAAATATCTAAGCCTATGTTTATATATCTTAGGTGTGCGTTTAACATTAGCTGATGCTGGTGATTCAATTGAAGATGCAAATTTTGAAGAAGAAATGGCTGAAGCACAACTTTTACGTCTTTATGCATTTATTGAATGGGTTAAAGAAGTACTTGATATTAATTTAGTAGATATAGATGAAGAAAATAATTCAAGAAATTCATCTGATGTTAACTGGATTAAAGATAAATTACATCTTTCATCTAATTTAGATAATAGAAATGAAGAATTTACTGAAAAACAAAAAATAAATTATCGAATAGATACGAAATATAATTATTATGATCATGTATTTGAATCTGAAATAAATCGTGCTATTCAATTAACAGAAGAAAGTTATGAAAAAATGTTATATAAAGATGTACTTAAATATGGATTTTTTGAATTACAAACAGCACGTGATAATTATCGAGAATTATGTTTACAATCTGAACGAATGAATTTACATTTAATAAAACAATTTATTGAAATACAAGTAATTTTATTAGCACCTATCTGTCCACATATTTGTGATTATTTGTATCAATTTCTTTATCCTGGAACAACAATTATGAATGCTAAATGGCCAAAAGTTGGTAAGGAAAGATTTTATCATAGAAAAAAAAAAATTTTTAATTTTTCAATATACTTGAAGTCTTCCAACAAAAAAAATTCATCGTTATGATACATTTTAGAAATTAGTTTCAATTGAGAGAATTAATATGCAAAAATTTTCTTTTCTGTCTATTGAAATAGGTAAAGTTGATCAATCATTGATTGATTCACGCAACTATTTAATGAATATTGCTCATGATTTTCGTCTTCATCTTAAATCTTATATAAATCAACAAACAATTAGTAAATCTAAAAGAACAAATACTCAATCATCATTAACATCAATACATGCAACAATATTTATTGCACATTCATATCCATCATGGCAAACATTTATTATTAATGAATTAAAACAATTATATCTTTCTAATAATCATTCATTACCTGATAGTAAAAAATTAGCAGTTCATTTTAAAGATTGTCCAGAAATTGATAAAAAGTATCAAAAAAAATTAATGCCATTTGTTATTTATTTGAAAGAATTATTAAAAAAAAGTGACGATATAATATCATTAGATCGACATTTATCATTTGATGAATATCAAATATTACAATTGAATCAAGATTATCTTCGACGTGCAATTCATGTTGAACAAATTGATATTCGTTTAACTGATGGCAATGATACGGATACAACAATGTTAAGTAATTTAGAAGATATTGTACCTGGTAAACCATTGATACACTTTCGTCATGAAACATTGATGTTATAGTGTATTCTATGACATATATGTCAAACTTATCATTTTATTTTTTTTTTCTTCTTTGATTTTCTTTCATCTTTTTTGTTTGTTTGTCTTCGCTTGTATAGCTGAACTTGTTCTTTCTCATTTTGTTTTTGTTTTATGTTCGTATATAGAAACATTTGTCATTTTTGAAATAAAAAGAGAGACAAAAGATTGAATCTATAATGAACTGTCAATCTGCGTATTTAAAACGAACGCTAAGAATTGGCAAGTGACGGATCTAGGATTTTTATGATGAAGAGCGATCATGATCATAAAACGTGTTTTGAAGCTCATTAGAGGTGATACTAGCTCATTTTTCACCACTTTCTGGTAAAAAAATCGAGAACAACACTGTTGAAAGGAGAACGAATACTTCTGTAACTTCCCACTAAATCCGTGACTGCAATCCGACGATACAGATTAAACAGTCACATCAAAGACTCTGCCCCATGGCAAGACAACATAGTTTTTCCTAATAAAATTTCTTTAGAAAAGAGTCATTTCAAAATGTTAACATCAGTCTTCGAGAACATGTTTCATATAAAGGGTGAGCCATACGTCTTGGGCCCTCTCAGGAAAATTACTCTTTCTCCCTTATAACAAATCTAAAAAAGCCCAAACTGTGGTATATGATCCCTTGTATCACGGCGAATATTATCCTAAATTTTTAGATGTCTATCTCTACAAATAAGAAAGATATATAGATTAACATTTTAGAAATTTTGTTTTCCATGTCCCAAAAGAAAAAAGCAATGTTTTATTCACAAGTAAAGTATTCAATAATTAGTTTTTACTCAAAATGCAATCGCAAATAGTCTCAATTTATTAAGGGTTTTCATCTTGAATTTGATCTTGTTGGTTTAGTTTCAAACTTTCATAATAATTCTTTTGCATTTCTTACTCGTCGATATCGTTCAGTAAGTTCTTTCCGTTTCCAAACTATAGTGTATATAAACCTATCGTTCGAATACTAAAAGACAAAAGTCAAAACGAACCGAAAACGTTCATTTTTCAATAATAACTGTACACTTCAATGACCAACCTTATACATTCTCACAATGGCAACTTCAAGAAAAAAGACGTCTAACTGAGGAAGAAATTGGGGAAATTATGGATAACTCTCAATCTGACTTATCTTCAGTAGATGAACTTCTAACAGCTTTTGATTGCATATCTATTCATTCGAGTGACGAAGATCTTCCAGTGGAACGTCAGTGGCACTATGGGACATTCATCCCAACCATATCGCAGTTCGTTGGTGAACCTGTTTACAAAATACGACTTCACTTGTCGGAAGAATACCGCTTGATTATTTTCAACTGTTTTTCGATGAGACTATAATACAACACATAATTGACGAAACCAATCGTTACTATTTGCAGAATTCAATAGGTGAATGTGAGCATACGTCTAACTGATAAAACGTGACTTGAACAGAAATGTACATATTCCTTGCAATGACAAACGACAGCATACGCAAATTCAAATAAAATAGATAGACAAACTGGAGAAGAGATTGCAAAACCTGTCTGCATTCCCGACTACACTAAAAACATGGGTGCAGTCGATCATGTTGACATGCAGATGTCATTTTCAGAATGTATATGAAAATCGGTAAAATGATACAAGCAGCTTTTTTCCATCTTTTGGATATGGCAGTATACAATGCATTTGTTATTTACAAAATGCATAACAATATTTCTTCTCATCTATCTGATTTGTGGCTTGAAATAATTAGAGGAGTTTTGACAAAGTACGGACATCAAAGATCGACTACTATTGAAAGACCATCTACAAGAGATTCTTCTCTTCGTTTGATCTCTCGACATTTCCCTTCGCTTATTCCACAAAGACCTACTACTATTGTAAGATCATCTACGAGAGATTCTCCTCTTCGTCTGACTGCTCGACATTTTCCTTAGCTTGTTCTACAAACATCGCAATCAAAACAGCCTCAAAGGAAATGCATCGTTTGCACATCCTATAATATTCGACATGATACACAATATGTTTGTTCTGATTGTAACGCACCTCTATGTATTGTTGATTGCTTCAAGGACTACCATACAAAAATCAACTACTAATGGTTTTTTACACAAAAATATAATTTCTTTGTAAAGAAATAAAGATCACATTTTAACGTTTCTTATAAAAAATTTCAAATTTCGCACAAAAAAAGCTGGAACTCAAAGGATTAAACACATAGACTGAAATCCGGCAGATAGGTTTGGGAAACCAAAATAGCTATTTTTTACCTTTGTTTGATGAGTATCTTCAGAAAACCTCTTGGAATCAAGCTCAAAATTTTACCATAGCATCCTCACTAGAATCCTAACATATCCTAGAAATTTCATGTGGTTTGCATGCTCTATGAAAATGTTTTTTTTTTCTTTGGGTGAGGAGGGTTTTAAACAAGATATTTCTTTCATGATGATTTTTTTATTTTTTAACAACAAAAATCGATATAATACACATAACATTATGATAACCAAATTTCTATAGGTTCTCCAGTATTATTGTAGACAACTTTGTTTTCATCAATAATATTATCAGGAAATGTTTGACGACGTTTTGCAATTAGATGATAACGTGAAAAAGGATCATCAAGTAATGTATCTTGATGATATTTAATTTTCATATAAGACAAATTTTTCAAATAACAAAGAAATACATCAATAACAGATATACAATAATCGAATGAAAATACTGGAAGTTCAATATGATTAAGTGATAGAAAACGTTCAACAATTTTTGATGCAGAATTTGGTAGAAAATGAATGATATTTTTTACTAATTCGATCATTTTAATTCGTTTAAAAATTGAGAAAAGAGATGGATTATCAATTATTTTTGTTAAAAGTAATAATTGAGTGCTAATTGAAAGATCGATCACATTTGGACATGCTCTAAAACAAAAATAAACAATATATAATTCTAAGATTTCCAGTCAGTATCGTTTTTGACAATATGAGAAGATTTTCTTCGACAATAATACAATGCAGGTCTTTCTATGCAAATATTAAAAAAAGACTTATTGTAGAATAAGTTGAACATCTATCCATCGAGATATGTGACTCATTGATAGGAATTATATCCGAGTTATTTTATGTAGATAAACAAACTGTGTGAGATGAGGAATAATTTTTTGTGTATCATTATTATCATTTACTGCACCATAATTAACTAAAACAATCAAAATATTTTTGAAAAAATCTTAGAATCAAATTCATCTATCTCAAACAAAGTAAATCAAACATTCTTCTTACCAATATTCGATAAATTATGCCATCATGATGAAGATATCATTGACATTTGTATGGCAAGATTTGTAACCTGTTGAAATAAAGGAGAAGACCAAGTAGTTATTTACACAGTGAGCTCTTGCTAATAGCATATTGAATTGCCTGTCACGGTCTGTGGAGGGAAGATAGGGGCAAGTTAAAATTTCTACACTATATACTACAACGTTTCGTTTAGCATATGCTTCACAATAGTATCATTTTAATCGATTTTAAAAAGATTTATAATCAAACCTCTACTATTAAACACCTCTCTAAAGTAAGCACTTTTTTGCGGTTCATTTTACTATTGTAGCCTCTGCAATATGAGCATGTTTTTTATCTCTTTCTTTTTTCTATCCTCTGTTTCTTATATATCATGAGTAAGGACATTTTGTGCATGATTCGCTGCTGTACATGTGAAGTAGAGAACAATGTCACGATTCAAGCATACTTTGTAAGAAAAAAAAGTACCATTAATGTACGATAATAAAGATGGTAATGGTTTATCACAAGGTAAATTGACTGAAAAATATCATATATTATCCGGCTCAATGTCAAATATTTTTAAACGTAAAACAGAATCAAAATGTGAGACAAAAATTAATAGATGTCAATGCACAAAAACTAGACGATCAATTATATCAATGGTTTGCACAATGACGTGCCCAAAAAAACCAAACAATATTAAAGTTTTCAATATAATTAAATTTTTTGTTATGCTTGAAAAATCTTTGAATACAAATCATTTTGATAAACACAAGCATAAATAACCTGACTTCTATCTAACATTATCATAAATGCAGATTTTCTGGAAGCTTTTCTTCATTTCACAGCAAACCATGTTTCAAATCTCTAAAGTAGACACTTTCGTGTAGTAAACACTTTTAAATGATTCCAATAGTATTCATAATAGAGAGATTTTAATGTATCAAATCGAACAACTGAGATCGACTTTATATTGGTTGTCAAAGAAAAGACACAAGAATTTTAAGAGATTCTAGCTAATAAGTCGGAATTATATTCCGATGTAGTTACATATTGATGTGATAAAAATTTTTCTTTGAAACTGTTCAAGTGCTTTTTCGATGTCTCAATTTCTTCTTGTATTCCTAATGATGATTAACTTTTAATAAAAGCTTTAAACAAAAAGTCTAAGAAAAAAATGCAGCTGCATCATATGGTTCTGCGTTGATCAATTCTTTCTTCGTTCTCACACCGAAAGTAAGAAATAGACCTATGATGGGTCGTTGATCATTTTTTTGATCAGCTAGATCTTTCAATTGATTATGATATAATGGTCCATAAAATTTTTCTTCATTTGGACGAAAAATAAAAGTAGATTTAGGCCTTAAAGTTTGTCGTAAATAAGTCATTAGTGCTTGTTTTGTGCTTTGATCATTTTTTACTGTATTGTACTGAAGGATTATGTGACGAATACGTTTTTGACGAAAAAGATTCTGTCCTGAACGAAGTACATCCAATCCAAACTCGTCGAAATCAATTTTAAGTATGAATATTGATGATGGCCGTGCGATATTATCAAGTTGAATATTTTGAATTTTGGTCGGAGCTACTAAGTCTTTTGCGTTATAATTTAAAGATCCAGATAGGACAGGATTATTAGACTCAGAGGTATCAATTACCTGATGATAGAGATAAATAGATGTCGTAAATTCATTAACTGCGATTGAAATTTGAATAAGAGCAACCATCTCTGGTTGTTTCTCAAACATGTAAACAGAACAATTGCATGCTGCAGCATAAAGACCAAACTCACCTGAAATTAGACAAGGAAAAAAAATTATATAATAACGTTTTTAAAAGAAAACTTTCCACATACATTTTAGCTCTAATTAAAGCTTCTTCAAAAAGATTTCATGACAATATCATTAGAAAAATTTTCATGCAATGGTCTACTTTCTGAGAGAATTTGTCGAGAAAAAAAAAACTATTCAAAGATAAAAGGATTTGTTCGATCTCACATATTAAATATGTCAGAAACTGTAATAAAAACCGTGTTAGTTTATCAAGAGAACATTGAAATACAAATTTTAACAAAGAGTGTATGTCTCTAGTTCGTTATATTTGATAACGTTTCAGAATAGTCAAACTGAGAGTTTCATAAGAAATCATATCTGATATTCTAGAGTAATATTTTACCTAACTTAGCACCAACATCGACAATAGTAATTGATGTATTCTTTCGACATAAATTACAGAGTTGTAAAATTTCGAGTAATTTAGCTCGTGCTCCACCACTGAAAGGCTTACTACCATTTCGAGTGGCGAGTTGGTATAGTGGAGTTTGATCATCCATGTCAACAATAACTTCAAAAGGAGTTATTGTAGTAGTAATAATAGTAGTAGTAATAATTTCAGTAGTTATAGATTCGGTTGTGGTTTCAGTTGTAGTTTCAGGTTGGTTGAAAGTTTCCATCACGGATTTTAAGCGTTCAAATGGCAACGATGGTATTGTTAATTTAAAATCAGTATAAAAGAACGTATGATATAATAAACCAATGCCAATTGGAATGCTTATTATAAATAAAATATTAGTAAACTTTTTTGTAATCCAACTAATATAATTCAAAAAACCAGAAAATCTTTGGTCTTGTGGTATATATGATTGATTTCTGTTAACCACCATGACTTGCTATTAATGAAAATGAAAAAATGAAAATTTAGAATGAAATTAATTTCGAAAATATAAAACATTTCGGAAATTCTTACAACAATTAACATTGCTCTGTAATCATTCTATTAATTACAACTCGCCTAAACTATATCACTATTTCAATCTATCATTTGTACATGAATGACAAAAATCTTTTTTTGCTAGGAAAATATATATATTAATATATATAACTACCTACATATTCTTTTATGTACTGTTCTGAAAATCGATTTAATATAATTACACTCGGAAATTTATAATTATGATATGCGTAGCTATAAAAATAGATGATACTGTACCTCTTGAAAGACTCAGAGTTTAGAAAAAAAAATTTACTGATAGGAAATTTTCAAGAAATATACTCTCTACAATAAACCATTATCAAAATATATCGGATAAAGTAAAGTCATCGTCGTATAAGCATGATTTGTTGATCTGTTAAAAAATTGTCAATTATAATACTAAGCCATGTAAAAATTGCAGAGCTATGTCAATTTTTGTAAATATTGGAAAGTATAACAAAATCTGTGATGCGATCGCTATTAACATAAAAAGTATTACTCTATATGCATCAATATTCAAACACATACGTAGAATATTGATAATGTGAGGGCAGTCATGGTTCAATAAATTTACCATTTTTTTTTTCTATTCCTGTTCAGGTAGAAATATTAAGACTGACAAAAATGTTTCTGTTTCATCAGTGACGTTTTTCTTTTGAAACACATGCATCACAACACGAAATATACGAAAATGTAAAAATTTTAGTAATATCTCATCGATTTAATAATTTTAAAAAGCGATGGAACTGATAGAAAAAGCATCATGATATTTTATTGCATAATAAAACAAGTTAAACCTAAAAAATAATTAGTATGTTACCTTGTTTTCTTTCTCTTCGATAAGGTGTAAGTGACGAGTCATAATGATATTCATCGTCTTTTTTTATATTATTTGAAAATTATTTTCATCATCTATATTTCTTAGAAATATATATTTTAGAAATTTTTTTTTTTTTTTTTTTGAGTGTTATCTATCGAGGACGTTCAGGCGAAGATCATATTCTTCTTGCTTCTTCGGCACTGTCCAGTTGCAAAAATCTTTTTAGAAAGAGCTTATTTGCTCAAATATACTTCAGTTTTCTTTCTTAAAAAGCTGATATACTATTTTATGTAAATGATCTATTCATAAGTGGTATGCCATAGAACTTAGAGAAGTTACTTTTTTGAAATTTCTGATCTAAATTAAATTAACTTGAAAATTTCATGAAAAATACTTAAAAACAAAAAAAGTGTAATCTGTATGCGGATGTTCAAATGCATTAGGCTTCTTCTTCCCTCTTTTTTCTGGACACACTGTGTGAACGATTCCTTTATCTAATTTTTTATCTGAATGTTAGTTGTATATTTTATATTATTCACGATGTTTCTCCATGTCTCATACTCAGTAACAAAAATGCTGACTGAGGAAACTCTATTGAGAATGTTACAATAGAACACGTATAACGAGATCAGCAAGTGCTGTTGAAAATATTCCAACACGTAAATCAATACTATAATTTTTCTCGCCGACAACACTATTACTTTTGTAGATTTCACTAATTGTTCACATCCACATCTATAAATCAATGTTGATTAGTTCAAGCATTATAATGATTCTATATGCAACATTGGAAATCTTGTGAATGGATGGTGATCCTTCGAGTTATTTAAAGAAGTCAAAAATATGTTTAATGGAGCTATTTTTGAGAGGAGCCTGCTGTTATGGGGAAATGTTCTATCCGTTGTTGTCTTATGATGTTGAAGTGCGATGTAAAAATTTGAATGATGAATTCTTGTCGAAACCCAATAATTGTGATAATGATCTTTGAAGCTGTATTTAGGCATGTTGACACAGCGATACCAATGAATGTCATGCTATCAAGTGATTGAAATAAAGCTTAATGTTAGACTAAAACTTAAAGTCGCATATTGATATGGAGATGAGAAATATAATATAGTGGGTCACAACGACCAAACGTCTAACTATTATGGCTTTCATAGGATTCCTTCGGGTTTCATGTAAATCTTGAAACAAACATCGGGACTTTCAATTCATGAGAGACAATAGCTAGTGTCTTGGTGTGAAGATCGTAATCGATGCTAGAAATAAGGCGTACACAAAATAAAGTCTATTAGAATCATTCAATCATGAAATAAATTCATTTGCTATCTTTTATCAGTTCTTAATACACCAATCAGTCGAGATAGTAACTCTCATGTGAATTCTAGAAATTACTGTCCAATCGACCATTATAAAGCTCATTGCGAAAGTGTTTTTGACCTATTTGATTCTGTCAGAAGTGGCGGGAAAAATGAAGAGAAATCATCATGTCCGACCTGGAACTCTGGAAGTCGACCAAACGTAGAAGCAGCATTCTCAACTGAAATATCTTCCGATTATTTCATTAGAAGTAACAGAAAGTTGATTGGAAGTTACAAGAAAAATCAAAAGACTTTCCAATTCGGAATGTTACTTGTACATTCCATCAATCTCCAGTGTTTGTCTGATCAAACTAACCTATTTGATTTCACTTGAATTAATGAATAATATGGACTGAATAATATTGTCAACGAATGAATAGTATTGAGGATATATCTCTGTGAGTGGATCTTCTTCGTTTATTATTTATTGTGCTTTCTCATATCTTCCAGAATATTTGTTCTGTTTGAAGAATTATCACATTTAACAAATGGAAGCAGAGTAGATACTTTGAAAAGAGTCATTAGAAAAGTTTACAAATACGTTTTATGACTGATTGAAGGATATTCTAAAGTACTTGATTACCCATGTAGCCAATAATGTAAAATAATGAACTTTATTTTACATTATTTTTAATAAATAATGTATGCAATATAATTATAATGTAACTTATTTCATGCATTTCAATGAATTATTGAAAATTTTACCATGATTTCTTTGCAATTCATTATAATGCATGAAAAAATTGCGAAAAAATTATATTAAAATGTATTGGAGTCATGAAGATTTTCAATTAATTGAACCACTTTTTTTTCTCAAAGTTTTCATGCTTGGCTACATGGATACATTCGTTCTTTGAAGGTTGGAAATTATATAATTATATTACTACTAAAAAATTTGATTGAAAATGGAATATAATATAACACAATCATCACTTCTGTCTATTTAAGTAAAGAAATAGGACAAATGATCATTGATCTCGTTAACAAATCAATAATCCACAAGTTGCTTCATACGATCTGTCTCGTTCTGAGTGTAGTTCATAGATGCTAGTGTCTTCACAATTGTATATCTACTATTCTCTTTCATTTGTTAAATTTTTTCTCAATACAGTCGCTCTTTCTGTCCTGTCTTGAACAGTTTCAAATATAGGTGTGTTCACTCAGTTTTCATTCATATGAACAGTTTTGCTGTTTTGCATGACTCATTAATGGAAATGATTTATATTAACAATATATCTATATAGTCGATATCTCAACCTGTTGATTTGTAACTACATCCTCATTCCGTCAATCGGTCTCCAATCGCTACTACTGGTGATTATAGTTTTTCGAGCTACAGTTGGCGTAAAAACTTAAGGAAAAATAATTAAATGTCTATATAACTTTCACAAATGCTAAAATCTTTGAACATAACTTCACTTCTAAATGACCTATCAAAGATTAGAATTCTTACTTTCGAATATGATACTTGTCTGGACGAAAGACTGAAAATCACCAAAAATATTTGTTTATTACTGTCAATTTTGATGCGACTTTAGTGTATTATCAGAATAGTTGTTTTTGAATTTTTGCTATTTTAACCAATCGCTGTGAGGTGTACAACAAATAATTCCGGTGTCTTTTGATTTCCTAGATTGTGAAACCGTCAGTTAGTCATTGCTGAGCAAGAAAAATACGGTATATCAGTGATACATTAATTAACGGAATCGAAGAAAGTACATCAACAGTTTACACGTAACCATTATGACAAGTGACGATTATTTAGTTCGAGCAATACACTATCAAGACTCATCATACGAAACATATTGAGTATATGAACTAACCGAAGATATTCCAAACTTTAGAAATCTTTCTAGTATTTTGTTTCACGTAAATTCATTTTATGAAATATATTCCATAATGAAGTTACAAATTTTATTTCCAATATGTCTGAAAAGATACCTTTCAAAAGTACACTGAATCAAATATTTATTGCAAAAGTAATCTACCCGCCTTAGTACATTCGCATTTCTCTGAGTTATTTCGTCGTGTGCTGAATGAGACAATTAAAAACAAATTTTACTGAATTTTAAAATATAGTTTTTTTAACAATACACTTTTCGTGAATATCATACAAGGGTGAGTCTTAACAGGACGTATCTTATTTGACGCTACTATTTCTTAATCTATTAATTTATATCTCCTACATGAATACATATTCATACACTCTTCTTCGATAAACTCATAAGTAGAGGATGATGAACAAAAAAAAAGCAAAAAAAAAGATCGCATGACATGTCTTTAAAAAGAAAAAGGCAGTCATTAAATCTTGTCGATCGACTGAAACAGTGGTTCATCAGGTATTTCAACTGTATCTATTGCACTTTTCTTTATTACTGAAACATAAAACATCAGTCGATCATATGACTCTTGATTTGAAATAGCTCGATGAATAGTACCAAAATCCATTTTGAATAAAGTAAACGGTTTTGCAACACATTGACGAACCGAATAATAATCTCCGTCTTTTAATAGTCGCTTTACATCGACGCAATCAGGATTTTGTGTCGCTTCCGATAATATAGTCGAACTAGTTGATGGTGATGGAATGATATACTGCACTGCATTATTATGCGAAATTTCAGTCAACGGAACAAATATTGTCGAATAATCGATTGTATAATCAAGATGAAACACTTGTGCTTGTGAACTAGCAGGATTTAGAATATAACCGTATCCATCCAAAAGGAT